GATCCAGGCAGAATCCAGGAGTGTTTTCAGATCTGCAATTCTTTGCATTCATAGTTATTTGTTTGGAAAGACTTAGAAATCAAGAGTCCTGAGCAATATATATCTATAATTCAGGGCATCACCAAGAACAAGAATAGACAATTCATAAGCTTCAGAGATTTTAGCAAAGCACTGGAGTTCCTGTGTATTTCAGGTGAGTTTTCTCACCTGTGCTGTTTAACACAGCCTTTGGACCTGGCTCCTATATCTCTAATAACCTACTGGGCATTTTCAACTGTCCATCCCACTGGTACCTTACGCTTAGCAGGTCGAGAAACAAGCCCATCATTGTGTTCCCCCACCCCCAGCCTGTCTCTCTCCTCTTGACTTTCCTGAGTGTGCCTTTGACTTCCCAGCTGACGCACACCACCACGCCTACAGCCTTGGGGGATGTCAGGCCTGCGCGTCTCCAGCACCTCCTGAATGCATCTGGTCACTGCATGTTAGTGACTTTTCCCTGGGGAGCGTCTTGCGTCTCTCTTTCCTTCCCACGGGTGCCGTTGTTTTCTAGGCTCTCACCTGCTCTTGTCCACTAGCTGGAGCCTGCAGCCCTCCCTCCCCGCGATTCATGCACATCTTTAGCTTGACTACAGCTGTCTCTTGTCTCTTCACCATCAGTCATGCCAGTAAATGACAGGCTTGAAATTTAGCCCCTTTGATAATTTCCAATGGTCCTATAAACCTGAGGAAGCAAAAATGGTCTGAGTCACAAGAGTGCGCTTGACTTACAGACTCAGCTTCAGTCCAGTTCTCTTGCTCAGCCTTCCAGACAAACTGCCACTCTCCCGTTTTACCTGTATGGTTCCAACTTGGCCCTGTATTGTCCTTTAAGCAGGTCACACTTATGACTTTCTCTCTTAATCCAAATTTCTTCCTTCTCTCCATTCCCTTAACTTCTTGATCTATACTCTTACTAATCACCAGAAGATATAGTATGAAAAGAACATTAGCCTCAGGACTTCCCTGGTGGACGAGTGGTTAAGACTTCACCTTCCAATGCAGGGATGCAGGTTTGATCCCTGGTCAGGGAGCTAGGATTCCACGTAACTTATGGCCAAAAAGCAAAACCTAAAACAGAAGCAATATTGCAACAAATTCAATAGATACTTTAAAAATGGCCCACATTTAAAAAAAAAATTAGCTGTGAACTCAAAATTGATAGGCAATGTTCAAACTTTTCTCTTTCCCCTGTGAGTCCCTGGAGTGTGTTATTAAGATAGAAAAATTTGAGTAGCTAAACATTTGCATTTCTTATTTATTTTCCCCCATCCTTTCCAAGTTCATTTGAATTAGGATACATCTGTTAAGCAAACATGCCCAGGACCTTGGACCACTTACAGCCCTAGGTGAGCTAGGTAGGAACAGTGAAGAGCATCTGTTTGCCCTGAGCTGGTAAGATTTCCGAGGTTTACTGTGGGGCACCAGCTGTCTTGCAAAGTCCTGATTTGTCACCGACTATGAAAAAATGATAATGATCCAAAAATGACTAGAGCTGTCAAGGACAAGGCGGGAGTGGAAAACCCTTTGGACAAGGGGCAGAGATGGTACCAGCCTGTTTCTCAGGAAAGTTTCCCTCCCGTATCCCCCTTCCCCGTCTCATTCCAATTCTGGGTTGACCTGGGAAATTGTCAGAACTCCTTGGTATGGATGGTAGTAAAGAGAATAAAATGTCCTCCTATTTGACAAACAAATGGGCTCTTTAATTTTTACATTACTTCAGGACCAGAAGGCCATCCTTCTAGGTAGTTTTGAGTAGTTTTAACTGATTCTGACCTAAGGTTATACATCCATTCTCCTCCATAGGGTTGTTTCAGAATGTTCCAGACCTTGTCAGGTCTCATGTCTCCAACTTCTGTAACTTTACCCCTTTCATCTATAAGCAAAGTTTGGCCTGTCCCACCGGAAGTTCTTTGGTCAACTCAGCTTGACCAAAACCATAAAATTCAACACTTAAATTGAATCTTTACATTCCACAGATTCTGTCTCTTCAAATAGAATGCACCATCCTTAACGGCAAAGATTATGGCATTTAATTCCATGTTTCTAATAGAGTACTCTGTCTTCCTGTGAACTCAAAGTGCTAGACACATAACACAGGATTCCATAAATGTGTTTCTGATTGATTTATTCTACAAAAAGTTGTTTATGTCTCAACTGTGTGTCAGACCTTGAGTTTGGCAGTGGGTCTACAACTGTAAACAGGTAGAGATGATTCCTGCTCTCATGGAAGAGGTGGGTAATGGCAAGTAAACATGTGGGTGGTGCACTTAAAGCTTGGGATTGTGCTATGAAGGAAGTAAGGCTGTTGCTTCAACAGTCTGGAGAGGTGGTCAAGGAAGGTTCTGCTTGGAGGTGATACCAAAACCAAGACCCGAAGAGGAAGAAGGAATTACAGATGCAAAAATCCAGAAGAGGAAATGGGACAGGAAGAGGTTATTCTCTAGGAGATTCTAGAGGTCCCTGTGCTGATGGCGGGGCAGAAGCGTATGTAAGGTCAGAGCTACACAGGCTCCAGATGAGCTTCCCAGGCGGCCCTCTTGGTAGAGAACTTGCCTGCCATGCAGGAGAAGCAGGAGACACAGGTTCGGTCCCTGGGGCGGGAAGGTCCACTTTAGTGGCAGCCTACCCCAGTGTTCCTGCCTGGGGAGCCCCACGGACAGAGGAGCCTGGCAGCTACAGCCCACAGCTACAGCTACAGTCACACGGAGTCGGACACGGCTGAAGCGACCTCAGCACGCACACATGCACAGGTTCTGGCCCTGCTAACGTGTAAGGAGTTGGGGTTTTGATCTAAGGGTACTGGGAGGCCGTTGGAGGACCAAAAGCAGGAGAGTGGCACTGTGAAAAATAGAGGAGTGAGGATGAGATGGGGGGGCAGGTGAGGATGGCTCTGCCCCGGACCAGGTGAGAGGGGGTAATAGCTCCTATATGGTGATGGTGCGGATGAAGGGAAGTGGGTGGACTGGGGAGAAACTTTGGAGGTCACACCAATATGTCAGTGAAGGATGATGTGGAGGGGACAGGAGGAGCCGGGATGAAGCCCACATTGCTGCCTCTGAATGCTGGGTCACTTACTAAGATGGAAGAAGTTACAGGAGAGATTTAGGGGAGAGACATTGGTCTTCATTTTGGACATGTTAAGTTGAAGGTGCAGATGAGTCATCAAAGGAAAGATGTCGAAGGGGACGTTGGTTTTCTGATTCTAGAGCTCAGAAAAAAGAGATCTAGACTAAAGAAATGAATTTGTGTTGCCAAGAGGTGGTATCTGAAAGCCACGAGAATGGGCAGAAGTCAGCCAAGGGGATGGGATGAGCTGCCGTGTGGGCTGGGGTGATGGGGGAGACCTTCAGTTATCCACGTGGGGTCAGTCCAGCAAAACCATATTTTGGATGCAATGCTCCAACTCCTAAGAATATTTCCACAATTAATGTCACATTTCAAGGACCTGATGCAGACTACGGATTGAAACTGGATCAAGGTATTAGATAAAAAAAACAACAGAACTCATCAGTGTCATTGTGAAACATTTTTTTGAAGAGAAAAGCAAGTTGATGATAATTTCCCAACAACATGCAATGATTGTACCAAACCTGTTTTTCATGTGGCAAGATCATTCACCTGAGTGATGGCACAAGGGAAGGTAATAGCACTGTGTGTACGGGCCACAACTAGTTAGAAGCAAAATAAGTGAGTGAGTAAAAGTTTTACAGGGATGGGGGAAGAAAGGAGAAATTCAATCAGCTTGTTGATCACCCTTTCGTTATACCTCCGGAAGTGGGTGAAGGTGTCTTTCCCTGTTTATTCCTGTTCATTTTAGCACCGAGTATATCAAACAGGTTACTTTCAGTTGCCTTCAGTGTTTCCTTGCTGTTAATTTGTAATCACATCAGTAATTCATGACCAGCTTTTCAATGTTAGAAATGAAAACATCGTAGACATGGCTACTTTCTTTCCTGACCTCTGCACTCAATTCAGTCCTTAACCTGCGGGTTTCATGTGTCCTTTAGCCTTTTTTTCAAGAGGATTCACATGTGTCTTCTTTGGAAAGAGACATATGTTCCCTTGGAAATATATACTGGTTTATTCTTTTATTTTTTAGACATTTTTACTTTAACGTGGACCATTTTCAAAGGCCTTATTGAATTTGTGACAATAGAGCTACTGTTTTCGTGATTTGGGCCACGAGGGATCTGAGCCCCCAACCAGGGGCCGAATCTGTGCCCCCTGCATTGGAACGTGAACTCTCAGCCTCGGGACGCCAGGGAAGTCCCCCTGGCTTCTTCTTTTACACATATCGTTGTCACATTTTGTTTTTCTGCCCAAAATATGTCTTATATTCCTTGCTGTGTCAGGTCATAATGAATTGAACGGCATTTTTTAAATTGTTAGGTAGAATTCTGTGTTGTGGTATGCACTTTCCTCTGCCACGCCTGCCTACTGGCAGATCTTCAGACTGTTTCTGACTCTGTTCATACAGACAGGCTGCTGGGAGCATCCTTGACATTCCTTGTGGTCCACACGAGTCTTCCAGGAAGAACTTTCCAGTCAACACTGTTTCTAGAAAGAGTGTGATTTGTGCCTGCAGGTCCAGCCTTAACAAGCACTTGCCAGACTCTTCCTTTGCTCTGGGCTTGGAGTTAGTGTGTTAGGTATACCCACTGTCTCGTCTAAATCTCCAGTCACTAGTGAAATGGGGTCTGTAGTCATGTTTATGTCAGGGCTGAGGGAGAGGAGAATTCTCAGGTAAACAGCTTTCTCAAGGGGCACAGTGAGCAGTACTTGAAGCGAGGTATCAGAGCTGACCCGCTCCTCCATGCACCACCATGATGGTCTGAGACAACTGCTTATAGCTATGGAGAAGAAGGGACTTGGGGGCATACTCCCTAGGTCCTGATTTCAGATCCTTGCTCCTTCCTGAAGGATGGGCCAGGACACTTTCTGTGTCACATCATCTCTTACAGCTCTGCCCTTCTTACCTGGAAAGCGGAGCTCCGAATAACACCCTGATCAGATGGCGTGTGACCTGTGGTTATCACAGATCCAGCATCATGAATGAGCTTCAAAAGGTAAGAATACCAAATATGCAAAACTTTATCCTGTGGTGGTATGAAAAACAGTCCCTGACCTCAAGGGGATTAGGTTGTCTACCAGTAAGTGTTAAGGACAGAGTGGCCTCCAGGTCTCCAGGTATCTGACCAAAGGCCAAAACCCTTTGTTTCTTTTTATCCCTCAGCCCTAAACCTGCTCAAAACTGCTACTGCTTTAAACTTCTCTGGACCTTTCTGTTAGCTCAAAGAGATCTAAGTCAGAAACAGTTTTTTAAAATTTTGGACAGAAACTAGGAAATGGATCCCCTTTCCTTGAATTTCTGGTGATTTGGAAAAGAAACATGGCTTGAGAAAAGAGATATATGTGGAGCCTTCCAAAATAATTAGTAGTTTTTATGTGCCTTTTATTCACCACAAAGTATGTTAAAGCTTTACTTAAGGTACTAGAGCTCTAGGTTGCAAGATCCAAAAGACTTACCTAAACTTTTCAAGAGAAAAAAGAGAATTTGTTGGCTCATAAAATAAATCATTCCAATATAGTTCAGCTTCAGGTATGATTGGGGCCAGGAGCTTCAACAATGTCATCAGGCCCCAGTCTTCCTCCCTTGAGGGTTTTGGTCTGTGTGCCTCTGGTAGGCCTTCTCCTTCATTAGGTTCGCTTCTGGGGGTAGAGATGTGGCTGCCACATGTTCTGAGATGATGTCCTATTCTTTTAGTAACTTAAACTGGTGAGCATCCCTCATTTCCTGAAAAGTAAAATAACTGGAGTAGAGCCTTATTTGACCTGATTTCTCTGCATCAGGTAATGTGTCCATCCTTAAACTGGTTGACTGTTGTCAAGAGATGGGTTATTTCATTAGCCAGACCTATCGGAGACAGGTAGTCAGGACCCAGTCTAATCACTTGGACTGAGAGGGGAAAGGCCTGAGAGAAGATCAGGAGGTGTGGGAACAGGTCTTGGATTTGCAAAACTCTCATATGCCTCATGTGAGTGTCACATTTAGTTCACACAATAATTCTGTAGAATGGTCCTTGGTTAGATGAAGAGACAGATGTTTTAAGTGGATAATTCACTTGTTCAAGGCCACTCAGCTAGCAACTGGAGAAGTTGGGTTTTGAGTCATGATTCAATTGCATTCTCAGTGGTTTAACTGTCTACATTTTAGCATTACCATTCTACCCCTTTTCTCCACTCCCACACTGTTCCCTTGCCCCAAAACAGAGGGTGATCTGTGCTAATAGCCGCTGTTCAAATCCCATCAGCATTGGCAGTGCCTGGTTTCCCTGAATGGCACACAGCAAAGGCCAGCACACAGTCGTATCAGGGAAATCTTTACTAAACCAAGACATTACTATTGGTCTTTTTGACTTCTCAGCAAGTGACCTGCACTCAAGGGTAAAGCCAGGAGCTTTAAATCACAGGAAAGCTTCCCCTTGATGGATTTCCATGCTGGGATGTGAAACCAAGTGTTGTTTATTTTGTGTAACTCTACAGTTAGTAAAAATCAAAATGTCTATGCATGCATTCACTGTAGTAAATTATTAGGTAATTAACCTTAATGCCCCCTGCTCTGAATCACTAACTTACTTTGGCTCTGGAGTTGTTGAGAATATTTCTCAGGCATCATAATATTTCATCGCATAGCAGCTTCATGTTGAGTGCAGCAAAGTTTGAGCAGAGTGGAAGGGATGTAGGATGGACCCATTCCAAAAGAGGGACGGAAGGGCTCTGTGTCCCCCTGAAGGAACAATACAGACTTGTGATAGGAATGCAGAGTGGAGAGGGGAGGGGTTTTCTTAGCAATCTCCAGCTCAGACTTCTTTTCTTTCTGCCAGCAAGTTTAAGCCTTATCACGTCACGCTCTGGCTGTTTTAATAGAGAACTTCCGAATGGTCTTTGTCTCTCTCTCCTCACCATTGTGCCAGATTAATCTTCTTGAAGCACAGGATTTATAGCACAACCTGATTCATAAGTCTTTAGCAACTCCATCTTGCTAATAAACAATATACAAACACCTTCATGTAAATTTCTGATTCTTCCTCAACCTAGCTTTCAAGCCACGCCCTCTGTCACTGCTCAACGTGATGCCTTTGAGCCTCTTGTCTCTGCCCTGCACACCCCTCCTGGGCGAGAGAAATATTTCAGGCTTCTCCACTTATCTCCTCCTCTGAATCTTTCTCCTACCTCACTTAATGCATTTACCTCATCATTGAATATGGATGATTTTGGTGAAAAGAATAATGATCAAGAAAAGGTTTGGGAAATAAGGATCAATAGCTTATACCTTGCAAATGCCATTAATTTATGCCACCTTTTATAATTACATGAAAGTTGTTTATTGTAACTGCCACACACACTGCACAGTGCTCCTGTGTGTATGCCCCTTCGAGTATTTTTTGGGTTAAATCTCAAGTAGTGGTTTTGCTGAGACATACAACCTGTACATTTTAAATGTTAATGGGAACTGTCAGGACGCCCTCCTGCCTCATCAGCAGCCTCTGGAAGAACGTGCCTGCCTGTCGAGGATCAGCGCCTTGTGTCCACACTCTGGCGTCCCTTGCACTCTGCCGGGTGCTGGGTGAACGAACGGGGCTGGAAGTGGTTCAGCTTCATCTGCAATGTTTGAACTTTTATGAGCAGAATGAACTCATATATTACCTGTGAAATTTAAACTTCTTTTAAAGATTTAAGATTGCATCCATGTGACTGACGTTGAATGTCACTCTTTACGGAACAGGGGTCGTCGGAGAGATCGGCAGCAGGCTGGGGAGGGGAGACCAAGCTAGGAACAAGCGTGTTCTTAGGCTGAGACCAAAGCCTAGTGCAGAGACTGGAGCTGGGGTCAGGGTCCTGCTGAACTGAGATTCTGAACCAGCAGCAGAAAAGATACCAAGCTGAAGAAGCCAAGAGAGGAAAGAGAAGTCAGAAAGCAAATCACCAGGTCATCAGCCCTGGAGTTCAGTGAGAACTCATGGCAAGCAGTGAGGAAAGGAGCAGGGGCTCAGACGGACTCGTGTGGACGAAGCTTCCCTGGGGCAGTGGGAGAGGAAGCTGGGAAAGAAGCATCTTCTGAAAGACCCCAGTCTCCCTTTTGAGAGATGCCCTCCCTGGCCTTAAAGACACAGATCTCTGCATTAAACAAACTATATTACTGATGTCTGAATAATTTCTCATAATGTCTCTTTTCCTCTATAGAACTGGAACCAGTTTGTAACTAAGCATATATGTCTCCTCTTCTGGGCCTCCTGTGTCTATTCTAGGGGCTGGAAAGCTTTCTTGTAAAGGGCTATCTGGTAAATAGTTCAGGCTCTGTAAATGAGATGGTCCCTATCTCAACTATTCAACCCTGCTGTCAGCCTGGGAAAGTGGGTATAGGCAATGCATGTGTGATTGGGAGTGGCTGTGTTACAATAAAGTTTTATTCATATTTTATGGCAAGACAAAAAATTAAGCATAAAAATTGTCTCTGCCCATTTGGAACAGGGATTAGTGCCCCTGCACTCATCAGGCCTCCTTAGGATATAATATTCCTTCTTAATCTCATAAAGGGTCACAACTTCTTAGAAGATACCTTCCTTCTTGTTCAGGGTCGTGAAGACCCTTGAATCCCACCTCGACTTGTAAGTGTAGATCTGTGTTGTAAATTGTCAATATATCACTTAATAAAGAAACTTTGTATCAAAACTTATATAAAACTATGACCTCTAACAGGTAGAACTCAGCTTTCTGAAAGACTGTCTCCCGGTTATAATCCTCAGGTTGGCTGGAATACAATTTTCATTTCTTTCTTAGGTTGACTATTGATTATTCTTTTTTCATTAACACTGCTTGGCTCAGTGTTTGGCATGTAACTTTTTATGTTAAAATTTTCTTAGTTAACTGTTTAATAAGTTTTGTCATGATCTCTGTAATCATTTTATAAACCTATTTAGTGCATCTGCTCCTGAGCCTGTTGGTTGGGTCTGGTTCCTTGTCATTGTCTTGACCAGTGGGTCTATCTTGCTTAGAGGATTCTGAGCACTTAGAACTGCCCCCCACCCCGAAATACCCAAGTGATTTTAATAAAGACTGAAAATGAAAGTGTTAGTTGCTCAGTTGTGTCTGACTCTGTGACTCCCATCATAGCCCACCAGGCTCCTCTGTCCATGGGATTTCCCAGGCAAGAATACTGGAGTGGGTAGCCGTTCCCTTCTCTAGGGGGTCTTCCCAGCCCAGGGATTGAACCCAGGTCTCCTTCCTTAGCAGGCAGACTCTTTACTGTCTGAACAACCAGGGAGGACCCTAATAAAGACTGAACACATCCCTTAAGACAAACCTGACAGAAGCACCGTGGCTAAGTGTTCTTGGCTGAGGAAGTTACCTGGCTTTTGATCTTCAGACAGGCCTCCTGCAGGAAATGGATTTCAGATTCAATTGGGAAGTTCAGTGATCTCATGGATGCATAACAAAGACATCTCTTGACCAGAACCCCCAAGGTTAGAGTGTCCTAGAAGTGATTAAAAGCTATTTCACTGAGTGTTACTCTTCACAGTGAATGAATATTCTGATCAGTTGGGCTGTTTGAACTGAACTACTTTTTAAGTGGTAACTTGATTTGCTGTTTTGATAAGTCTGAAGAAGTGTGTTTGAACATTAGCAGAAATTTAGCAGACATTCTGATTTGTTTGTACAATTACCCCTAAATTGTAGGAATTATCCGCTCATTAATTCTGTCATTTGCTCTTTGGGCTAAGGCATGTAGTGAGTGCATTGAAATTTGAATAAAACTGGAAACAAATGAACAGATTGGTTAATCATCATAAGTAAAGTTGCTTCAGAGTAGTTTTGTACCTCATCAGGATGCAGAGAAGCAGTTGAGGGTGACTTAGTACTTTGCTTTAGTCTAATTACATTGGAGTTCGATACTTTATTGTGGCAAACCTATATTTGCAGTAGTTGATATCTTTTGAGAATATAGGTGAGTGTCAGGACATTGGCTCTAAAGAAGGGAGGTTTAGAATTGCACAAAAGTATACAATCCTTCTTATGAAAAGAAATATCAAAATCCTTTTAACTCCAAAGTGAAAGCTTGGGAAAATTTCCCAGTTGGAGTTCTTCTCTGGAACAAAAGATTCAGTGTCTAGTTAGGGTGGTGATGAAGAATCCAGGTTTCAGAGACCCCATTTTTTTGTGTGTGTTTTTGCAGGTGTTTTTATTTATTTTTCAAACTTTAAACTTTTTGTCTTGTATTAGAGCACAGCTGATTAAGAATGGTTGTGGTTTCAGATGAAGAGTGAAGGGACTCAGCCATCCAGATGCATGTGTCCCTTCTTCCCCAAAGCCGCTCCCATCCAGGCTGCCGCATACACTGAGCATAGCCCCCTGCGCTGTCCTTAGGTCCTTGTCGGTTACCGTTTAAACACAGCGGTGTGCACATGACCTTCCCAAACTCCCTAACTGTCCCCCCACCAACCGCAGGCTCACTCTCTAGTCTGTGAGTCTTTTTCTGTTTTGTGAGCAAGTTCCTTTGTATCATTTCTTTTCAGATTCCCCACATAAGGGATGTCATACCATATTCAGCGACCTTGTTTTTATAGTTACAAACAGACCGTCAGCTGTGAAGCTGTGAGCTGATTATATAGGCACAGGCTGTGGAGCTGACAAACGCAGGCCGGAATTTAAGACCACTCTTAATTAACCGAGTGACCTTAGGCCTCAAGTAGCTAAGAGTAAACAGGATGACCAGCTTGCCCTGGTTTGTCCCAGGTCTTTTGGTTTGAGCACTGAAAGTGCCACGTGCTGGGAACCTCTGTCCCAGGCAAACCGGGACAGCTGGCAGTTCTATCAGAAAATGAGGCCACAAACACAGAGGGTTGTTAACTGAATAAATGATAACCGTGGCTCAGTGAGGGTCCTGCTCGGGGATGCTGGATGACCTCGTTAATCTCCCTGAGCTTTTGGTGCCTCATCTGTAATCTCGGACACCGCACCTACCCCGCACTGCAGTTGCAAGGCCCACAGACGGGATATGAAGGGGCCGTTGAGCCATCCTGGTCGCGGTGCCCACATCTCACTGCAGAGGCTCCTCTAGCTGCGGAGCTCTGGCTCTCCAGCGTGTGGACTCAGAAGCCAAGGCTCCCCGACTTTGGAGCTCGGGCTCAGGAGCTGAGGTGCAGCGACTTTGTTGCTCCACAGCATGTGGGATCGTCCCAGATCAGGGATCAAGCCCACGTCGCCTGCATTGGCAGACTATTGCTCTTTACCCCTGGGCCACCAGGGAAGCCTGTTTAAAGCATATGTTGGCCAAAATGCGTGGATTTGAGCGAATGACAGAAAGACTCATTTTGGGGTAAGGACTGACTGAGCAGAGATGGAAGTTCATTTAATTAAGATGCAGGGGAAGAGGGACGGGGACCAATCTGATCAGCTGGTTGCTCATCCAGAGCTTTTGGCCTGCAGGTGTCTCTTCCCGTTTCTTCTGGAAGCAGGAGTCGGATTTTCCTTCGGAACTCTCAGCCCCTGTTTGTGCCTGTGTGTCTGCATCCTCCTGCCATCCTCCCCAGAAGGGCAGGGAACCTAGATTCGGGCGGAGCACAGCATTCGCCTGGGTGCCACACAGCTCGGCATCCTCTGAATCCACAAGATTCAGACCCGAGACCTGCTGCTGATCTTCCCCTGGCACCCTCAGCTCTGAGGCCAGGAGTCTCGAGCTGCAGGCAGCCGTGGCCCACCACGCGGAGGAACCTGGCTGGGAGAAGAGACAGACAGGACTGGGGAGACAGGAAGTTAGACCCTGGGGACAGTGCTTCAGGCTGTGCGCCCTGCCAGGCTTCTGTGAAGCTATGCTTCAGCTTTGTTTAATGAATGAATGGATGAGTCAACCATTCTCTTTCCTGTGGTTAATTCAAATATGTTTCTTTCACTTGCAAAAGGACCAACTCTGAGTGACAGAAAGTTCTGGAAAGGTTTTATAGCTTTGCCACATTGACAGCTGTATAACCTCTCCCCACAAGCAGTTGAGAGCTTGTTTGAAAACTTTCTCAAGATCTGTCAATAGCTCAGTTCCTATTCAATGATCTGCCAACAATCTCCCTCATCTCACTATAAATCTTTCACAATTTCAAACTTATACGCTCACAAACTACTTTTTAATGGCAACCCAGGTATTCTATTGAAATCATTGTATGTGGTAATTAGTAATCTGCAAGATAATTTCAGTTAATTTTAAATTTAAAATTCATCATGCAAAACGAATTGGATCAGAGTGGAGCTACCAACAAAAGAAATGAATCAGAGTGTGAGAGAAATTGCACTCAACCCTGGAAATAAAATGTGCCGATTTCTCAGGGAATAATCATTGTCTCGATTTTTACTTGTAATTATAATTTAATTATGAACCTACTCTTGCAATATTTTAAAAGTACGTAGTTAGCATTTAAGTACTTTCCATATAATTATGTGTTATTGAACCAGCTCATTATGGAGCGGTTGCTGCATAAATTGCTATGCTTTGTATAAAAATATTTTTTCACTTCAGGTTGACTTGAAATAAAATAAGACAGATTATTTGAATGGTATTTAGAGACTGCCCTGTATTGCATAGCCGCTTTGAACTTGACCATCTTAAAGACTGGTGAACTTGCTAACGTTGGTAAAGATCATTTCTGGAAACCCGAGAGATTTTTCTCTTCTTTCTTTTTTCCCTAAGAATTTACTTCTTTCTTCATTATTCCCCTCAAGAAATTCCTAGAGAATACTTGAAAATCCTGCTTCTAACACCACAGTCCCTTCAGCCTCATGGAAGAAAGAGCCAGTGAATATTTGATTGAGTCTACCATGGGGCTCCTCCGGTGGCTCAGGGTTAAAGAATTTGCCTGCCGATGCGGGAGGCTCCGCTTCGAGCCCTGAGCTGGGAAGATCCCACCCGCCGCGGAGCAGCGGAGCCCATGGGCCACAGCCCCTGAGTCTGCGCCC